CCTCTGTTCCAAGTACCAATCAGAGCTGACCCTGCTGAACTTCTAGAAGAAGAGTACTTTCCAGCTGAAGAAGGCACTAGCAAAACTACCTCTAAGTATTCCTGTCTAAGAAAACCCTATGAAATACAGGTGACTGGAAGACACATGAGTACCCACACAGTTTTGAACCTGGAACTTTCTGCATGATTTCCAGAGCTTAGGAAAGTTACCCTTTTGACTACAACCCTCAGAATCCTTTAGTTATCATGGATAGTGCAGAAACCATGGTTGTTGCAGTATTCTGGGATTTGTAGACCAGAAAAGAAACATTTCCAAGCTCTCTGCTCTGCCATTGAGCTACAGTGCTTTTTTAAAAATTGCCAACCCTTGTTCAGAGTAAATCTATGTCCTCTTGACTGCAACCTTGGCAACCCCAGTCATGATCTAAAAATTCAGCTCAAAGAGCTGATGGAGCATTGTGTTTTAGTAGCAGCCCTACCACAGTCATGGTTGTTATCCAGAATTCTTTGCATAATCTCTCTCTCTCTCTCAATGTTTTTAAATGGCCGTTTTACAAACTGCTACGTGTGAAGCAGCCTCAAGACAGATGATATCACTGCTTTCTACTGTTCCACATGAAGCAGGCTTGAAAGGATCCCAGTGTATCAGTAGATCTTGATTTGTTTAAAATGCTTCTCTGCCCAATGAGCTGCTCCTTTGCTGACATGTTAAGAAATTGTATTTGAAATAAGACTTATCCTGAAAATGATTGTGTTAATTTCATTTTCATGCAGAAGAACGATAGAATTAGACACTGAAAACATAATAGATCATTGCAAATGTAGACTAATGACTGCAAGTTATATTTTTCCTCCTTAGTGTTCTCTCTCTTTTTAAGTCAGTAAAATTGGATTGCATTAGCTTTGCAGCTATTAGATGTAAACAGATGCAACACTGTGTAAAAAGGCGAATATGGATGCAATAATTTTCAACCAGAAAGACATGCATTTTCTTTTTAGATTCTATACCCTCACTACCAGCAAAATAAATATTTCACAGTTTTCTTATATATGTGGCAATTTTCAGCCGACCTTGACATGGTGGCATTTTCTTCCACCCTTTTAAGCAGTTGTTTCTGATCATGTTATCTGTTTGAAAGAAAATGGCAATGAAGTAATGGTGATTCATCACTTAAGAAAGAGTTCTGCTTTTGAGGCACAGACCTCTAGTGCAGGGGTAGGCAAACTGCTGCTCTCCAAATATTGAGGCACTGCAGCACCCAACAACTCTTACTACTAGCTCTATTGATCAGGGCTGATGGGAGTTGCATAGAATCATAGAACAGTAGACTTGGAAGGAATCTCAAGGAGCTATGCCAGTGCCAAAACTGACTGGTAAAGCAGGTGGCCATTGAAATTATATTTAAAATATCAACTGGAGGACAGTCCACCACCTTCCAAGGGGTAATTGTAGCAAATGTCTGGGCTGTCTTATTGGTAAGGGTTTTTTGGTTTTATATTTTGATTTTTTTTTGTATTTATGATGACATACTGTTTGTATTACATTTTTACAACCAACAAATCAGTTAAAAATAAATGTACACTTTTTGTTAAGCTGACACACTAAGCTTGTTTTATAGTTGTGTAGGATTCCAGACTGTTAGTGTTTTTGGTGTAGTGGTTTGAGTGTTGGACTAGGACTCTTTGAAACCAGGGTTCAATTCTTGCTTGGCCATGGAAACCCACTGGTTGACCTTGGGAAAGCTGCATTCTTTCAGTCTTAGAGGACAGCAAAGACAAATCCCCTCTTAACAAATCTTGCAGAGAAAGCCCTGTCATAGGTTTGCCTTAGAGTTGCCATAAGTCAAAAATGGCTTGAAGGAACATAACACACAAGGATTCCAAACAACATAGGAAGGAGGCAGGGGCCACAAAGGAAGCAGGAGCAAACTGCTGATGTAAGGAGGAAGGGAAGAAGATGTAGAAGCACAGAACTCTGCATTTGGGAATTCAAAGACATAGCTGTGTTAGTCTGGAAAATCAGTAGGCAAAAGGATCTTGCAGCACCTTTGAGACTAACTGAAAGAGAGAAATTGCTAGCATGAGTATTTGTAGACTTGAGCCTACTTCCTCAGATGCACGGGGTAGAGTGGAAAGTCCAGGGGCAGACCTACATAGTCTGTTTCTGAGAATGTCCATAGGGATGGAAAATGTTGTGGGTGTGGAGATGAGGTGATAAGTGCAGTTCACTACATCCCAATACTCATTCATAAAGTTAGACAATCACATGAATGATAACTGAGATGTAGTGAGATGGAAACCAAAAAGAAGATATGATCAACCAGCTATTAGAGCTCCTATTAGGCTAGGGCA